TTGGGAGGCTGGAGTGGGCGGATCACCTGAGGGCAAAGACCAGCCTGACCAACATGGAGAAACCCCATCTCTACTAAAAATACAAAATTAGCCAAGCATGGTGACGCATGCCTGTAATCCCAGCTCAAAAAAAAAGGCTTTACCGATCATATCTTCCAGCTATCAGTTCATCAGTTTTCTCCTCTGTAGCACAGTTAAGATCCTCCCTTTTTTTTCTTTGAGACGGAGTCTTGCCCTGTTGCCCAGGCTGGAGTGCAGTGGTGCAATCTTGGCTCACTGCAACCTCTGCCTCCTGGGTTCAAGCGATTTTCTCCTGCCTCAGCATCCTGAGTAGCTGGGATTATAGGCGTCCACCACCTCGCAAGGCTAATGTTTTGTATTTTTAGTAGACACAGTGGTTTCACCATGTTGGCTAGGCTGGTCTCGAACTCCTGACCTTATGATCCTCCAGCCTTGGCTTCCCAAAGTGTTGGGATTACAGTTGTGAGCTACCAGGCCCGGCTAGGACACATTTTACAACATCAAAAGACACTCCATTCCCTAATTGCTTGTTGATCTTTACTCTCTGTCTCCTCACCCATGTCCTCAAAGATGCCTCCAGAACCTGCAAAACTCCCACTTTTACACTTAGCATGATCGTCGTTCTCTAGTTCTTGGTGGCAGGCACAGCACCATCACTCATTTTGTTAGCCGTTATGGGGCAAAACTCTCCCAGGGCACAAACTAAATGACAGAAAAATAGGTTACAGAGGAGTAAATAACACACCACAGAACTCACTCAGCGGAAGGAGCAGCTTCACCACCCCCATCCTGGTCCCAGCCACCATCATCTCTCGCCTGGATTACTGCAGTAGGCTCCTATCTGGTCTCCCTGCATCTGCCCTTGCCTCTGCTAGTTATTCTTCACAAGCAGCCACAGTGATGCTTTAAAAACGTCACGTCGCTGCCTGGTTTGAGATCCTCCAGCAGCTTCATTTTTCCTACAAGTAAACTAAACTTTGCTTCACTTTCCTCAAGTTTTTGCCCAATTGCCACCTTAATAATGAGTACTTCTCCAACCACCTCCTCTGCCCCCATCTCTGCATCACACTCCTCATTCCCCTATCCTGCCCTTTCCCCTCCATAGCGCCTGTCAGCATTTCATATATTACATGTTTATTTACATAATGTGTAGCAGATTGCATTTTCCAAGGTGGCTGCAACAAAAGTTCTCATTCCACACACTTTCTTACAATGTTAGCATTTCCACTATTCCAGCTGAGAGATGAGGATCTAGGTTCTCCCTCTGAAACTATAACAGGAATTGTAATGGAAGTGATACTCTATGACCTCTGAGACTAGGTCCCGATCTCTGCCTGGTCCTCTTGGGGCACTCAGTCTTCAAACTCAGCCACTATATGAGGAAGCCCAGGCTACACAGAGAGGCCACTTGTAAATGTTCTGCCAACAACCCCAGCTGTGGTCCAAGCCATGGTCAACCTCAATTTCCAGGCATGTAAGGAAGCTTTTGAGATTACTTCAGCCTGAGCCACTGCATACGAAATTCCAAGTGAGAACTGTTTAGCTCAGCCGAATTACCTCCCAGAACCATGAGAGAGAATGATATTGTTGTTTTAAGCCACTAAGTTTTGGGGTCATTTGTTACTTAACAATAGGTAATAGAACAATTTGTTTATGTGTATGTTTTTTGTTTTGTTTTTTTTTTGAGACGGAGTTTCGCTCTTGTTACCCAGGCTGGAGTGCAATGGCGCGATCTCGGCTCACCGCAATCTCCGCCTCCTGGGTTCAGGCAATTCTCCTGCCTCAGCCTCCCGAGCAGCTGGGATTACAGGCACGCACCACTGTGCCCAGCTAATTTCTTTGTAATTTTAGTAGAGACGGGGTTTCACCATGTTGACCAAGATGGTCTCGATCTGTTGACCTCGTGATCCACCCGCCTCGGCCTCCCAATATGTGTATGTTTTATGTGTCTTTCCCTCTAGAGTGTAAATCCCACAAATTCAGGGATTTTTGTTGTGTTGCTGCTGCTGCTGTATTCCCAGCACCTAAAACAGTGACTAGCACATGTACTCAATAATTTTTTCTGGGGGGGAGGGACAGGATCTTGCTCTGTTTCCCTCAGGCTAGAGTGCAGTGGTGTCATCATAGCTCACTGAAGTCTCAAACTCCTGGCCTCAAGTGATCCTCCCAAGTCTTCCAAGTAGCTAGGAACACCACAACCAACCAATTAAAAACAGTTTTTTGGTAGAGACGGGGTGTTGCTACATTGCCCAGGCTGGTCTCAGACTCCTGTGATCCTTCTGCCTTGGCCTTCCAAAGTGTTGGGACGACAGGTGTGAGCCACCATGCCCAGCCCCTGATATTTATTGAATGAATGAATGGATGCATGATGCACTTTCTCTTTTGGTTTTTGTCTGTTTGTTTTTGAAAGGGAGTCTCGCTGTCACCCAGGCTGGAGTACAGTGGCAAGATCTCGGCTTACTGCAGCCTCTGCCTCCCAGGTTCAAGCAGTTCTTCTGTCTCAACCTCCCTAGAATCTGGGATTACAGGCACATGCCACCACACCAGGCTAATTTTTTGTATTTTGAGTAGAGACAGGGTTTCACTATGTTGACCAGGCTGGTGTTGAACTCCTGACCTCAAGTGATCTGCTCGCCTCAGCCTCCCAAAGTGCTGGGATTACAGGTATGAGCTACTATGCCCAGCTGATCCATTTTCAATAAAGCATCCTAACGGTTATTGGTCAACAGTATATGGCATAGTCTGTGCTTGATCTTATTGGCTGACTAAATTGGCACACAGAGCATGGGAAAATATGTTGGAATATTTCAAAGATAAGTAACATATGTAATATACACAAATATAACATATGTAATGAATTATATTAATTACACAACAGCATAAAATAGGATTTGAGTTTTATGTAGTTTGTCTTTTGGTGATTGATCCCATAATCCTACCTTGAGCTTCTCCAGATCAGGTCTGGAAAGTCTTCAGAAGGATTTTCAGGATTAGTGATTCTTCTCAAATAATGAAGTCCTTCTTAAGCATCCCGCACTAGTGGAAATCACTCACATGGTTTTGGTATGAAATGGAATGAAGCTGGGTGATGGCAATGTGAGTGTGTGTGTGTGCGCGCGCGCGCAAACGTGCACGTGCACACACACACACACACACACGCAGATGCATACAATTTGGAATGCCTACTTCCACTGCCTATTTTCACAGTCCGTGGTTTGGAGTATGTATATAAAGAGAACGAACAAATATAGTTCTGTATCTCCCCTTTCTGCACCAAGTGCCTTGATTTTACATTTGGAGCACATATTTGTGTACTGCTTAAAGAGCAAACATTTTCAAATATTCAAGGAAAATATTAAATTTTTATCATCTCAGAAGGCAACGAAGGACAACATTTCTTAGCTATATGAGAAGCGGTTAGTTTATTCTGGGGAAGAATAAACAGTTGGATGACCACGAGTGGACTCGCCAATTTCTTTGAGCCAACCCATCTCAGCCTTGACTGGAGCAAAAAGCTTATGGATGTGGATTGTGCGTGGTTTCTTAGAACTGGGGATCTCTGCTGAATCCACTACAATGGGAGCAAAGCAGTTTCCCTCACAATAATTGCCTTGGTTAACAATTGTGTGCCACTTCTTTCCAAGATCCAGATGGCCTTGAGAGTCAAAATGGCTTTTAAAAGTTCTTCACTTAAACAAGGCCACAGCCACAAGGCTACTTGGCCGTGTCTCTTGAGGAAGAGTGAGTGCCATTTCATTCTTTGTTCCAATGACAGTTGTTGGTGCCACTGGGCCTCACCACCTGGCCTGTGTCATGAAGTCCCCTCTTGACTGGGTCTAAGCCTTGAGTGGCAATGGGGAGCCTCCCAACACTTCCTTGGGAAGTCTAGGCAAGTATATTGGAGATTATTTTCTTTGGGAGCCTCATTTTTCTCGCCAAAATTTAGATAGAGCTTCTGAAGTTAATTGTTCTTTTTTCATTATAAAAAATGTTTTTATTTATTTATTTGCAGGCCCAGCCAAACTTGACTAGAAAAGAAGCCCGGGCAGGGGTTTGGATGAGCCCATGACGTATTGCGCGCTCCGACCAATTGGGAGGCCGTGAAAGGGGGAGGGCGGAAGTGACGAGCCGTATCACTCCGCGGGGCGAGAGGGTCGGTGGGGGGAGTCGGCGTCTCTCTCCCCCGCGCCAGCTCCCGTACACGGAGCCGCATTCCTTGGCCCCCCCACCCCCCTCCCTCGGGGCCCCCCCGCCCCCCTCGGGAAAAAAATCCACCCCAAATCACTCGAACCCGAGGGAGGCTTCCTTTCACCCTTGGGGAGACGAGCTTTCAACGGTTCCCTCTTCGTCTCCCCCCAAGCCCCCGTCCCCTCCCCTGCTCCCACCCCCTTCTCCCGGCGCCGGGTGCAAGGTCCCTTTAAGGCGACGGCGCCTTCCTCGGGTCAGACTACCGGCGGCGACGACCACGGGAGGTGAGTGAGCAAGCGAGCCTTCTCTCTCCCCACCCCCTGCTCCCGGGGGTTCCGTTATCTTTTCGCTCGGCGAAGCGTTCGGAGGCCAGACAATGAGAGGGGGATGGGCCGGTACGCGCGGGGGTGGGGGCGGGGGGCCGGCGGCGCGCGCCCCCGCCCACCGCCAGCGGCGGCGCGGTCCGCGGCAGGGGCGGCCGTGGGGTGCGACGCGCGAGCGCGAGTGTGTGTGCGTGCGCCCCGGGCCGCGAGAGCCGCGCGAAGGGCCGGCGGCGGAGGCCCCTGCCTGCCGGCTGGCCAGCCGCCCCCGCCCCCCGGCGCCCGCCGTGGCGCGCGCGCGCGCACTCGCGCCCCACGGCCCCGCACACAGCCCGACGTCCACACGCACGCCAGGCGCGAGGCGTCTCGGAGGAGTGGGCGGCGCGGGCGCGGCTGGCGGCCCGCGGCCCGCTGGGGAAGGGGCGGGGGCGCGGGCGGCGGCGAGACGGCGGAGCGCGGCGGGAGGGGCGGGCGAGGGGGCGAGGCCGCGCGGCGGAGGGGGCGGGCGGCGGCGGAGCGGCCCCTGGGGATGGGGGTGCGCGCCCCTTCCCGCCCTGCCCCCGCTCCGAGAGGGAGTGGGACGCTCATTTTGAGCGGGAGGAGGAAAATGAGTGATTGCTGAGCCCATCCCTTGTGTTATGTAATCTCTGCTTGGTCTAATAGTACATCCTAAGCTTTAGTGCACTGTAGCTAGTTTACGAAGTCTCCTCCCTGGGCCCCCAAATTTCTTTCGGGATGGCGCCGTGATTTATAAAATGAGATGGGGCGGGGAATCTTTATTTTCTGGTGATTATGTCCTGCCGCGGTGGGCGCCATGTTTATCCCGGGGACTATTTTCTCTAGATTCTTGGCACCTTTTGCAGAGGAGTACTGTCATTGATCCACTTGCTTTACCTCTTTCTGCGTGTTGTTCTGATTTCCTTCCTCTGCAGTTGTGGGATTCCCTCAAACTACCAGTAGTACTGAACGTTTCTCGGCTTACTTGTGTTAGACATTCTTAGTTCAGAGAAAGGTAGTGAGTGCTGAAGAGTCCTCAGAGTCATTTGGTGGCCAGTCTCATTTTCCAAATGGAAATTAAGATACAGTTTTACCATCTCAGAGTAGCTGCTGTTTTGGTGCAGGGGGTAGCCGGTCCCTCCATGCTCGTAGACACATCTCACCACAGCTCAAAACTCCACACAAATGGGGTTTTGCTTTTTTTTTTTTTTAAACGGAGTTTCACTCTTGTCGCCCAGGCTGGAGTGCAGTTGCTCGATCTCTGCCCACTGCACTCTCCGCCTCCCGGGTTCAAGTGATTCTCCTGCCTGAGCCTCCCAAGTAGCTGGAATTACAGGCATGTGCCACCACGCCCGGCTAGTTTTTGTATTTTTAGTAGAGACAGGGTTTCACCACGTAGGCCGGGCTGGTCTCGAACTCCTGACCTCAGGTGATCCACCCGCCTTGGCCTCCCAAAGTTCTGGGATTACAAGCGTGACCCACTGCGCCTGGCTGGGATTTTACTTCTATAGTAGTTTACCCTACTAGATGAAAGGGAAACAGCGGGGGCAGGATGAATTTCGAGACCTCGTTGCTCAGGGTCTGAGAGCTTGAACTCTGAATTTGAACTGTTAGCACACTCGTTCTCAAGTTCGGGGTGCATAAAAAGTACCTTGAACATTGTTAAATGTACAGATTGGAGGGGCCTCATCCCCCAAGTTTATTTGAATGGGGCAGAGTGGGGAATGTCATCTCTACATTTTAAAATGAGTAGTCGTACAGTGGAGGCTGATTAACCGCTACTTTGAGAATTACTGGTCTAACATAAAAGTGTTCAAAATGTTGAAACAATTAAAAGACACCTGTGCCCTTGATTTCCTTCCCTTTTCCAGAGCTACGTTGGTGGAGTATGTCAAACTAAAGGAGGTAACAGAATAGACTCGGGACGAATGTGATTTTGTTAGAGTTTCCACTCCCATCTTGAACTAGTGGTATAATCTAGGAAAGCAGTTCTCAAAATGTGGACAGACGACCCGTGGTGATCTCCTCGTACGCTTTCAGGGGAGCCTCAAGGTCATAACTATTTTTAAAATGATAGTAAGATGATTTTTTTTCAGACACACTGATGGTTCAAAAGCAATGCTGGATAAAACTCTTGGTAGTACCTTAGCACAAAGCAAGTCAGTGGCACCAAACTACATAGTTGAGAATGCCCTTGAAGCAGTAAAGATTATTATTATTTTATTTTATTCAATCTCCACTCACTGCAACCTCTGCCTACCGGGTGGTATTTTTTGTTTTTTTGTTTTTTTGTTTTTTTAAGACGGCGTTTAGGCCGGGCGCGGTGGCTCACGCCTGTAATCCCAGCACTTTGGGAGGCCGAGGCAAGTGGATCACGAGGTCAAGAGATCGAGACCATCCTGGTCAACATGGTGAAACCCCGTCTCTACTAAAAATACAAAAAATTAGCTGGGCATAGTGGCGCGTGCCTGTAATCCCAGCTACTCAGGAGGCTGAGGCAGGAGAATTGCCTGAACCCAGGAGGCGGAGGTTGCGGTGAGCCGAGATCGCGCCATCGCACTCCAGCCTGGGTAACAAGAGCGAAACTCCATCTCAATTAAAAAAAAAAAAAAAGACGGCGTTTCACCATATTGGTCAGGCTGGTCTCTAACTCTTGGCTTCAGGTGATCTACCCACCTCGGCCTCCCAAAGTGCTGGGATTACAAGTATGAGCTACCGTGCCTGGCCTACTATTATTAAATCTTAGTTTGTGACTGCATGTCTTTTCAATTTTTAAGAATTTGTGATGAAATAAGAAACATGGATAAGGCATTTGTGCTGCCTATGGAGGTGTGATTGTTGTCACGAGAGAGGCATTTGTGAGATTGGGTTGTGAGTGGCTTATTTCATGGAGTAGCATTTTTAGTTGAAAGAATGGCAAACTGGTTTTTCACACTTCGTATTTGGCAGATATTTCTTGAAAATGAAGTGAGCTTGTCACTGTTAAGAAAGCAATTGACAGTATTTGTTACCAGTGATCAAATTTGGATGAAAATTAGAATGTTTAAAAAGTTCACAGCTGGAGTTTGACAGCTTCCTAGTACTTAAAAGACTTTTCTTATGCTTTCAGTGGTTAAGGACTGTAATTTTTTAAAATCTTGTATAATGAAATGTGTCATTTGGAAGATGGGCATAACTCTGTAACCCTGTATTTTGCAAATGACCAATGCATGATGTTTCAAAATTATGCGAAGGTAAAAGATCCTTTAAAATTACCAGATACAGCAATGGATTTTTAACAGTAAACAAGTAGATTGATATGGTTTCCGATTACGAAATTTTACCATCCTTTAAGAAACTACTATTTGACCCAGCGTGGGTGGCTCCCTACTGTAATCCCAGCACTCTGGAAGGCGGAGATAGAAGGATCATTTGAGCCCAGGAGTTTGAGCCCAGCTTGGTAAACATAGTGAGACCCTGTCTGTATTTATTTAAAAAAAAAAAGAAAGAGACTACCATTTATTGACTTTTAGTATTTACCACTATCCACAGTTATCTGAAAAGGTTATTAAAATGCCTCTCCCTTTTTTGACTAGATTTTCATTATATTCTTAAGCAAAACAACATACAGTAACAGACTGAATGTGGAAGTAGCAGTGAGGATCTAACCATCTTCTATTAAGTTAGACATAAAAGAGATCTGCAAAGATTCAGAACAACTTTACTTTTCTCACTTTTTGGAAGGGAGGTATTATTTTGTTGAAAATGTTTATATTAACTTGTAGTGGGGCTTGTATTAAAATACATTGATAAATAATAAAATTTAAAAATTTTGAATGTGGTGAATGTGGAAAGATAAAATTCATGTAAACAAAAGATCTTTGGTGTCTTCAGTAATTTTAAGAGTCCAAAAAATGAGAATCATTCGGTCAGTCCTGTGTTTCTTCTTTTTAGATCATTCAAATCTAACTCCCTTTGGGAATTTTGGGGAAATTTATAAGTAGTCAAAGTTGATGGAAGAAGCAGTGACTTGGGGAAGAGTTCTAGAGCAAAAAAAGCTTAATTTCAGGCCGGGCGCTGTGGCTCACGCCTGTAATCCTAGCACTTTGGGAGGCCAAGGTGGGTGGATCACCTGAGGTCAGGAGTTTAAGACCAGCCTGGCCATCATGGTGAAACTCCATCCTAAAACGAAACAATACAAAACAAAAAAGCTTAATTTCAATCCTAACTGGTATATTTACTAACTGTAGCCTTGAGGAAGTTCTCTCTAAACCGGTGTTTTGACCGTATCTGTAAATCACAAATTTTAGAGCTGGTTGTTTACAAACCCTAGAGCTGGTGGATGCCTTTGTCATAATATCAATATGGTAACATTTTGATAGATTCTTTGGTATTCTTTTTATAATATTAAGCTATATCCATAAATACATATATATATTTTTTGGGGGGGGCGGGGTGGAGTCTCACTCTGTCACTTAGGCTGGAGTATAGTGGTGTGATCTCGGCTCACTGCAACCTCTGCCTCCCAGGTTCAAGCAATTCTCCTGCCTCAGCCTCTCAGTTAGCTGGGATTACAGGCGTGTGCCACCATGCCTGGCTAATTTTTGTATTTTTAATAGAGACGGGGTTTTACCATGTTGGTCAGCCTCATCTTGAACTCCAGACCTCAGGTAATCCACGTGCCTTGGCCCCCCAAAGTGCTGGGATTACAGGTGTCAGCCACTGCTCCTGGCTGAAAACATATATATATTAATATATATATACACACACACACATATATATTTATACACATACACACACACATATATTTTGTGTGTGTGTGTGTGTGTGTGTGATAGAGTCTTGCTCTGTTGCCCAGGCTGGAGTGCAGTGGTGGCAATCTTGGCTCACTGCACCCTCCGCCTCCCAGGTTCAAGGGATTCTCCTGCGTCGGCCTCCTGAGTAGCTGAGATTATGCTACCACACCTGGATAATTTTTGTATTTTTTTAGAGACAGGGTTTCACCATGTTGGTCGGGTTGGTCTTGAACTCCTGACCTCTTGATCCACCCACCTCGGCTTCCCAAAGTGTTGGGATTGCAGGCGTGAGACACTGTGCCTGGCTGAAAAACATTTTTATATGTAACCAAGGGGAGGAGAGCAGAAGGGAGACACTAACCTATTGCTAGGTTTTAGCAGAGTTAAAAGAAATTGAGAGCATAGAATTGGAATTTAGACAACACACAACTGTCATTGAAGAAAAGTTTTCCATTACAGTAGGCACTTTTCTTGGGAAAGGGCCACCTGAATATTGAACCCTTTTAAAAGAGAGAACTTGTTGCTTGCTTTAGTTGTTTTAGTAAAGAGCACAGAACGAATATTTGGGTGCTTTCTGATAACAGGATTTGTTGCCAAACAAGAGGAAAATATTTTGAGTTTGGAAATGGTAGGTTATTAAGACTATTTAAAACCCATATGATTTTTTTTTTGTTTTGAGACAGAGTCTCGCTCCGTCGCCAGGCTGAAGTGCAGTGGTGCGACCTTGGCTCACTGCAACCTCTGCCTCCCGGGTTCAAGCAGTTCTCCTGCCTCAGCCTCCCTAGTAGCTGGGACTACAGGCTTGCATCGCCATGCCCAGCTAATTTTTGTATTTTTAGTAGAGACGGGGTTTCATCATGTTGACCAGGATGGTCTCGATCTCTTGACCTCATGATCCACCTGCCTCGGCCTCCCTTTCTTTTATTTAAAAAAGTTTTTTAGAGAGATTGGTTCTTACTGTTTCCCAGACTGTTCTCGAACTCCTGACTTTTTAAGGAATCCTACCATGTTGGTCTACCAGAGCTGGGATTACAGGTGTGAGCCACCAAGCCTGGCCAACAGTGACTTTTTTTTTTTTTGAGACGGAGTTTCGCTCTTATAACCCAGGCTGGAGTGCAATGGCGCGATCTCGGCTCACTGCAACCTCCACCTCCTGGGTTCCGGCAATTCTGCCTCAGCCTCCTGAGCAGCTGGGATTACAGGCACATGCCACCATGCCCAGCTAATTTTTTTTTTTTTGTATTTTTAGTAGAGACAGGGTTTCACCATGTTGACCAGGATGGTCTTGATCTCTTGACCTCGTGATCCACCCACCTCGGCCTCCCAAAGTGCTGGGATTACAGGTGTGAGCCACAGCGCCCGGCCCTAATTTTTATGTATTTTTTAGTAGAGACGGGGTTTCACCCTTTTAGCCAGACTGGTCTCAAATTTCTAACCTCAAGTGATGCACCCACCTCGGCCTCCCAAAGTGCTGAGGTTACAAGCATGAGCCGTTGCACCCAGCCTGGACTATTTTTTTTTTTATTTAAACATATTACGATCATAACTGGCTTTTGAGATATAGAGGTACTGCTGTAACTTTTAAGTTCAAGCATAAATAAGATTTTGAGGAAGAATATAGAAATAGGTTTGCATTTTGTCATTATGATTCACTGCCCTCTGCAAAAATGACTTTGAAGTTGAAGAAGGAAGAAGAGTTTATGTAGCAAAGGTAACCTGTAGGGGAATTGTAAAGGGGCCACCACTAGAAAAACTTAGAACTGGAGAGACTGGGCACAGTTGCCCATGCGTGTAAATCCCAGCACTTTGAGAGGCCAAGGCAAGCAGATCGCTTGAGTCTGGGAGTTCAAGACCAGCCCGGGCAGTATGGCAAACTTTATTATCTCTGTAGAAAATACAAAAATTAACCAGGTGTGGTCGCATATACCTGTAGTCCCAGCTACTTGGGAGACTGCGGCAGGAGGATTGCTTGAGCCCAGGAGGTCGAGGCTGCAGTGAGCTGAGATCATGCCACTGCACTCCAGCCCAGGTGACAGAAAGACCCTGTTGGGGAAAAAAAAAATTTTTTTTCTTTTTTAACTTAGAACTGGGGATTAGACAATTATTTTCACAAAAATTATTCACCAGCCAATACAGATACTGGCAAACAACCATAAAACCATAATTTTACAGAGTAAACATCATGATGCTCTTGTTTTATGTACTGGGGTAAGAACAAGAGTGGTCTAAAAGTTGTTGGATGAATAAGAAGATAAAATCAAGTTTCTGGCTGGGTGAGATGGCTCACACCTATAATCCTAGCACTTTGGGAGGCCGAGGGAGATGGATCACCTGAGGTCAGGAGTTCGAGATCAGCCTGACCAATGTGGTGAAACCCCTTCTTTACTAAAAATGCAAAAATTAGCTGAGTGTGGTGGCAGGTGCCTGTAATCCCAGGTACTCGGGAGCCTGAGGCAGGAGAATGGCTTGAACCCAGGAGGCTGAGATTTCGGTGAGCTGAGATCGTGCCATTGCACTGTAGCCTGGGTGACAGAGCGGACAGCAAGACTCTGTCTACAAAAAAAAAAAAAAAAAAAGGCCAGGAGTAGTGGCTCATGCCTGTAATCCAAGCACTTTGGAGGCCAAGGTGGGTGGATCACCTGAGGTTGGGAGTTTGAGACCAGCCTGACCAACATGATGAAACCCTGTTTAAAAATAAATAAATACACACACACACAGAGAGAGAGAGAGGGAGAGAAAATTAGCTGGGTGTAGTGCGCATGTCTGTAATCCCAGCTATTTGGGAAGCTGAGGCAGGAGAATTGGTTGAACCAAAGAGACAGAGGTTTCAGTGAGCCGAGGTTGTGCCATTGCACTCCAGCCTGGGCAACAAGAGCAAAACTCCGTCTCAAAAAAAACCAATATAACCATTTGTATAATTCATAAGGGCCTTGTTCTGTTCTGTTGCAGAGAGGACAAATATTTTTAAAAAGAAATTATAGTTCTTTATAGAATGTAGGAAGATTTTTTTTTTTAAATTGTCCTCGTTTTCAGAACATGTATTCAGTTTGATTAGTGATTTTCAGTCTTGGCACTATTGACATAGGGTAGGATAGTCTCCAGGCTATTCTGTGCATTGTAAGATTTTTTTTTTTTTTTTTTTTTGAGACGGAGTTTCACTCTTGTTACCCAGGCTGGAGTGCAATGGCGCGATCTCAGCTCACCGCAACCTCCACCTCCTGGGTTCAGGCAATTCTCCTGTCTCAGCCTCCTGAGTAGCTGCGATTACAGGCACACGCCACCATGCCCAGCTAATCTTTTATATTTTTAGTAGAGACAGGGTTTCACCTTGTTGACCAGGATGGTCTCGATCTCTTGAACTCGTGATCCACCCACCTCGGCCTCCCAAATTGCTGGGATTACAGGCTTGAGCCACCGCGCCCAGCCGATTTTTTTTTTTTTTTTTTGAGACAGAGTCTCACAGTGTTGCCCAGGCTGGAGTGCAGTGGCACCATCTCGGCTCACTGCAACCTCTGCCTCCCAGGTTCGAGCAATTCTCCTTGCCTCAGCCTCCCAAGTAGTTGGGATTACAGGTGCCCACCACTACTCGCAGCTAATTTTTGTATTTTTAGTAGAGACAGGGTTTCACCACGTTGGCCAGGCTGGTTTTGAACTCCTGATCTCATGATCCACCTGCCTCGGCCTTCCAGAGTCCTGGGATTACAGGGTGAGCCACTGCACCCAGCCTGTAGGATGTTTTGTAGCACTCCTGGCCACTACCCACTAGATACTCCAGTAGCACCCTTCCTCACTCCCACCCCAATTGTGACTACCAAAAATGTTTCTAGACATTGCCAAAGGCCCTCCGGGGAAGGGGGCAAGCTTGACCCTTGATGAAATTAATTATCATGTATGAAGACTCTTTTATTATTTATTTATGTCTTTTATTAACTGTATTTCCTTTTATGTAAGCTATGTACAGCAATTGAAGGAGTCTCTTCTGCAGGTGTAGTGCATAGCTTGGGCTGTGCCTGATACATGTTGGAGAACACTGGAAAGTGATGAAATATTTTAGCAGTACTGGGAATTTTATTGAAGGCTAGAAATGAGCTCATTTTAAAAGTAACAGTAAAGGTGTAGGCTTTCTGCTGTATCTAAATCTGTTTCCCCCCTCTGCTGCCCCCCATGTACATTTGCTTGAAAAAGATCCTTACTAGCTTAGGAATAGTTGAGAATTTTGTTTAATATATTTGACATGATCTGCCTGTATCCTGTGTTCAAGAAAAGATAGTTTTGTTTTTGAGACAGTGTCTTGCCCTAATGCCCAGGCTGGAGTGCAGTGGCACAATCACAGCTCACTTCAGCCTCCACCTCCCAGACTCAAGAGATTCTCCCACCTCAGCCTGTTGAGTGGCTGGATCTACAGATGTACATGCCACCAACACCCTGCTAATTTTTATATTTTTTGTAGAGGTGGGATGTTACCAAGTTGCCCAGGCTGGTCTTGAACCTCTCAGCTCAAGCAGTTTGGGCTCAAGCAGTTCTCCCACCTTAGCTTCCTGACGTGCTGGAATTATAGGCAAAGAAAAGATAGTCTTGAAAAGTTACTTGTTAAAAGGCTTGTTTGGATGTGTTCTCTTTGTTAACCTTAGATTATATTGTTCTTAAATTTTATCTTTTTACAGTAATTTTTTTAAAATTGTAATAGAAACAAGGTTTCTCTGTGTTGTACAAGCCGGTCTCGAACTCCTGAACTCAGGTGATCCTCTAGCCTCAGCCTCCCAAAGTACTAGGATTACAGGTATGAGCTACCACACCCAGTCAAAACTTCTTAACTGCATTTAAATTCTCTTGATGATCTAGGTGTTTTGTTGAGGGAATACATACAGTTGGGGTAGGATAAGAGTGGAAGTAATGAATTGTTTAATAAATATAAGACTGAAACATTTCAAATAAAAATTTCAGAAGAAAGAGTTTTTTTAACTTTCTAAGAAATATATTTGTGGATATGAAATTTTTCTGTCAGATGACATAAGAGCAAAGTTGAAGATAATTAATAGTTAGGGATTTGTATTGAGGTAATCTTTTCTTTAAAATGAGCAAGAAGGACCCTAGCCTTTTATTGTGGACTTGGAAATTCATTTCCCACCAATATCATCATTCCTTGAAAAATGGCTGATTCTAGGTCTGGAGCAGGAAATGTATGAGATGAGCTGGAACATCTTGATTATCAGCAAAGATTTTATCAAATGATACTAGGGTTGTGTCAGAAGGACTCAGAAGCCAACTGAAGAAGTTCCCCTGGCCAAAATAGGACGCTTTGAGTATCTATAAAGATAACTGCATGGATCAAAACATTTCAGAGGCTGGGCACAGTGGCTTATTCCTGTAATCCCAGCACTTTGGGAGTCTGAGGCAGGTGGGTTGCTTGAGTCCAGGAGTTTGAGACCAGCCTGGGCAACATGGTAAGACCCTGTTCTCTACAAAAATATATATATATATATATATAAAAAATTAACCAGACATAGTGGCTCTAGCCTATCCCAAGAGTTAGTTAGCTCTCTGTCCCAAGAGCTGCTCAGGAGGTTGAGGTAGGAAGATTGCTTGAGCCTGGGAGGCGGAGGTTGCAGTGAGCTGAGATTATGCCACTGCACTCCAGCCTGACTCCAGCCTGGATGAGACTGCTTCTCAAAAAAGAGAGAGAGAGAGAAAGAAATTTGAATAGTGACTAGATATTTGATATTAAGGGATTATCAATTTTTTAGGCATGTAATGGTAATACAATTTTTTTGTAAGATGGAGTCTTTCTCTGTTGCCCAGGCTGGAGTGCTATCTCAGCTCACTGCAACCTTCCACTCCTTGGTTCAAGCGATTCTCCTGTGTCAGCCTCCCAAGTAGCTGGGATTACAGGTACAAGCCACCACTCCTGGCTCATTTTTGTATTTTTAGTATTGGTTTCACCATGTTGGCCAGGCTGGTCTCGAACTCCTGACCTCAGGTGATCTGCCCTCCTCTACCTCCCTAAGTGCTGGGATTACAGGTGTGAACCACTGGCCCAACCATATGATTTTTTAAAAACTATAATCTTTTAAAGTTCTTATCTTTTAGAGGTACATACCAAAATATTTATGACTATGATGTTTTATTAGAGATGTGGTTCAAAATAATATGGGGAAGTGGGAGCATAAATGAAAAAATCAGTTTTGAGTTGATAATTTTTGAAACTGAGTGATGGATTCATGTCTTAACTTTTGTATTTAATTAAAATTTGTATCTCATTAAAATTAGCAGAAAAGGAACCACTCCAGTTTTGATTCAGAGACTCATAGTTGTAGTATGAAAATTTGCCACTTCACTTGATGACAGTGTGGTTCCCAAATTTACTACCCATCCAAGTGTTCTTCTCTTTTGAGACAGAGCCTCCTCTGTCGCCCAGGCTATAGTGCAGTGGCGCAATCTCGGGTCACTGCAACCTCAGCCTCTCGGGTTCAAGCAGTTCTCCTACCTCAGCCTCCTGCGTAGTTGGGATTACAGGCATGTGCCACCATGCCCAGCTAATTTTTGTATTTTTGTTAGAGATGGGGTTTCACTATATTGGCCAGGCTAGTCTGGAACTCCCGACCTTAGGTGATCCGTCCGCTTTGACCTCCCAAAGTGTTGGGATTACAGGTGTGAGCCACCACGCCTGTCCATTTTCCTCTTGATGAGGCACTGTATTCACTATGGGCTGGCCTTTAATATCTGAAATTGGCATTTCTGTTTAGCAGTTTTGAAATAAAAAATGAGAAATTAAAATGCCCTTAATTAAGGATTACACTTCAACATAATTTTTTTTTTAGTGTGATAAGTATCCAGTTCTTCATGGAAGAAAATTGGGAAGAGGGGAAAAAATTTGGTTTTTTTCTTTCCATATGAGAAATTAAAGATTTGGTATGGAAGGAGGTTAAATATGTGGAATGGTAGTTTGGGAAGATCTATTTTTTTTTTCCAGGCAGATTTTCAGAATCTGGATGTACATGTTAACACTGCATATTTGGTAATTCCTGTCTTCTTTGTTCAAAAATAGTTGGAAGGGTGTCCTTGCCATGATCAGGGCTAAAAAAAAAAGTCGAAAGGATTTGTACGCCATGGATCTCTGGAAAGACCACAGAGAATGTTGGTGTTTCTTGAGAATCTTGGTAGAAATACTATATACTGCATTTTATTATGTTAGGAAAGGTTTCTTTTTGATAACTAGAAAACTACAAGAAGGATCTAAATTTTCATTTTCTATTTTTGGTTTTCCGAGTATTTATGTTAGGTTGATATCTCTATTGTATCATGTTTTTGACCCTGAGTTACAGAGGCTGAAAGTGAAAGGAATTGATCACACCCTGAGATAACAGAGTATAGGTCAGACTCAAGGACTAAGTGTTTTGAAAAACTTGGTTTCAGTGTCTTTCAGAGATGTTTTGTGTATAAGTCTGTGAAATATGTTCAGTGAGCAGAACTAATATTTTCTGAGTTGACAAACCTTCTTTATTAACTCCATCTTGTATGTTGTTAAAAAACATGAAAAATATTTCCCTGTAAGTTGGATTTTCTTTTTCGTTCTTTCCTTCTTTCTTTCTCTCTTTCTCTCTCTCTCTCTCTCTCTCTCTCTCTCTCTCTCTCTCTCTCTCTCTCTCTCTCTCTCTCCTTCTTTTCTTTCTTCTTTTTGAAACGGAGTGTGGCTTCTGTTGCCCAGGATGGAGTGCAGTGGTGCAATCTTGGCTCACTGTAACTTCTGTCTCCCAGGTTCAAGCGATTGATTCTCTTGCCTCAGCCCATTTGTTTTTTATTATTTTATCTTATAGAGATGGGGTTTTGCCCTCTAGCTCTCCAGCGTAGGCTAGAGTATGGTGGTATCATTGCATTTACCGTAACCTCAAGCTCACTGTAACCTCGATGAACTCCTGGGTTCGAGTGATCCTCCCAGCTTAGCCTCCCGAGTAGCTGGGACCACCAGCATGTGCAGCACTCCTGACTAATTTTTTTAAAAATGTGTAGATATGTAGTCTTGTTCTATTACCCAGGCTGGATTTCTTTCCATTTCTCTTAGAAGACCTTTTTCGTGTGAGGAATAACAACTAGATTTTGATGGTCAAATGGAAGAAATTTTCAGTATTCTTACTAAAATTCATTGCTTTATAAAAGATATAACTGAAACTCGTAAGATATAGTAAATACTTAAGATAAAAGAACACCCTTTTGGATATGCTATTAAAATAACCACAGGCATGACATTGAAACCACAATTTGTATTCTGATTGCTCTTCATATTCCAAAGGAAAGTGTTCTACAGATTGCTTAGCATGTGTGTGGAGAGTGTGCTTGTAACTGGTCGGGACAGAAGTAAAATCATCAGCAGAGGTTATTGTGCACAGTTTATATTCATTCTGCTGAGTCTTGGCTATTTACACATTAATTATCTGTTGACTGTAAGCTCTAGGAAAGTTTTACAGCAAAGAACAACGGAATAAAATTGTTTAAGGAAAAAGTTGTTTAAAATATATTTTGTAGTGGAATGAGACTGGAAAACAAAGGCATGTGTTGTTTTTGTCTCAAAGAATACCTGTGATACGGATTTGATTTATTTGTAATTCAGTTTCTGGCTAGTGTTGTCTTTATATAATTAAGCATGAAAAGAAGAATTTAAGTTGATCCCTTAAATCTTTTTTTTTCCTCACCCCCTCTGTGACTTTGGTTTAGAAAGACAGAAATAATTAAAATAGAAGATTAAAGACCGGTTAGAATCCAGTTAAGCACTTTACCCATTAAAACCCAAACTGCCCTTGGCTATAGCTAACTCACTGGGGCATTGCAAGATACTTTCAATTTTTAAGGGAAACAGTGTCATCTGTTGGGTGTCTTGTAAACTGCTGCTGTCAAGTTGTATGGCCCTAACCAGATGCTTAATAAACAGAAAGGTTAGTTTGGTTTTGGTTCTGGCTTATGGATATAGCAGCAGGAATTACTGAGACACTAAGGACACTGAGAGCCTTTGCAGTAGAGACTTTGTTTGAATATTGAGTGGTAATGGTACTCTGATTCCAAGACAAGGAAACTGACCTTAAGTAAACTTACTGGGGGCAGAATAGCAGTAACTCTTTGTTTGCAGTGCAGAGATCCAGACTTTAATTGTTAAAGGGGGCATCGAATTTAGGCAGTGTTTTCAAATTAAGGATCGACTCCAAAATCACAGTGGAGTAGCCTCCAGAATTTCCTAGACTAGAAGTACAAGGTAGTAGTAAGACTGGGACTAGTATGACAAGTGAGGTTCTCATCTTAGGTGCAAGATTTAAAGGAGTACAGAGAAGTTCAGTAATCACAATACATGCATCATTTTTAAAAGATGAATTTTAATGCAGACAACTCATAATAAACAAAATATCTTTTAAATAAAGACTGGATTGGATCCTGCACTTGTTTGGCTCACCTCACTGTCCTCATCCTAACCCTGGCCCTGGGTATTACACATTAAACTTTTATAATCCTTTTTTTCTTTCTGAAAGAGAGAGCCTCACTCTGTCCCCCAGGCTGGAGTGCAGTGGTATGATCTCAACTCCCTGCAACCTCTGCCTCCTGGGTTCAGGCGATTCTCATGCCTCAGCCTCCCAAGTAGCTGGAATTACAGGTGTGCACCAACACGCCTGGCTAATTTTTGTATTTTGAGTAGAGATGGGGTTTTGCCATGTTGGCCAGGCTGGTTCTCTAACTCCCAACTTCAGGTGATCCACCTGTGTTGGCCTCCCAAAGTGCTGGGATTACAGGCGGGAGCCACCATCCCGGCCTCTAATCATAATTATCAAAGAATTTGCTGTGGATTGGATTCTAATATTCAACCATAAAAGTTGTAACTCTGAACTCTGGGAAATGGAGGAAGGCTAGGGGATATGGTAAAGGAGCCCAAGGAGGTAGGTTACCAATGGAATTAAAGTTCTGATTTCATATTTGATATAAAGCAATGTCTCCTGTTCCTAGGCCCATATCTTATTTGAATGCTTTTCTTGTAGCATGGCGGACACCGATCTGTTCATGGAATGTGAGGAGGAGGAGTTGGAGCCATGGCAGAAAATCAGTGATGTCATTGAGGACTCTGTAGTTGAAGATTATAATTCAGTGGATAAAACTACCACAGGTAACGAAAGCTCTTCTCATCTTAGATGGTTGTTTGATTAAATTGAATGGCATTTTGGTTCAAAAAGTGTGAGATGGAAAAGAACTTTAAGAATCCAGGAAGACCTCATTGTGGCACTGGTGCTACCTTTTTTTCCAAGATCTAGTCTGTGAAAAACCTCAGTTTCCTCATCCATATAGCAGAAACTATATATTTAATTCATCAAAAACATTGGAAGGTTGGATTGACCAGTGTTTATCAAATATCTAGTAGCAGTCTTCTTACTAAAAGATGTATGACCAAGAATTCAAAGTGGTGGTGTGTGTATGTGTCAGTGCTTATTTATGTACCCAGTGAAAAATAGGTTCCCAGGGTCTTGATTTTTTTGTTTTGTTTTGTTTTTCTTGAACTTGGTTTTCTTTTTGAGCTGAGTGGAAATTGCTTTGTGTCTGCCTTCATGGACAGTTTACAAATTTAGGTTTGTTAGCTTTTCTTTCATAAAGGTAATACTGCTGGGTCAAATTCTAGATGGCCCTGAATTCAGAAAATGGGTGATAGTTCTTTTTTCCCCTAAATTGTACCCGTTGTTGTTTACTTTTATCTTCCCTGCCTTGAGAGCTGCAGATGGCGTTGGTTCAGGCTGACCTAGGCCGCAGGGCAGGGTCTTTGGATGGCTTAATACGCATGGTTATGAATACCACCAGTGGCAAGAATAATCCTGTGAGCCCTAGAGGTTTGCTAGCGCTGTGTAAGCAAAACATTAACATCCCAGCTCAGTGGGCTCCGCGATGTAACTTAATTAACCAGGAGATGTGAGACAAAGAAGGAATTGTGTCTAAATGGTGGACTGAGGGATAAGTAGGAGGAGGAATCACATGAACAATTAGATGTATGAAACCGGAAACTTTGGCAATAGCTCACAAGATGGAAAGGGAAGATTAGAGCAGTATCCTTTAGTGTCATCTGTCCCTGTCTCCAAGTGACTGTGCCTCCCCTTCCCCACAGTTTCTGTGAGCCAGCAGCCAGTCTCGGCTCCAGTGCCCATCGCTGCCCATGCTTCTGTTGCTGGGCACCTCTCTACATCCACCACCGTTAGTAGCAGCGGGGCACAGAACAGCGACAGTACAAAGAAGACTCTTGTCACACTAATTGCCAACAACAATGGTAAGTGGGATTATTGGGAAATAATAATCCTGGGCTAGAGGGATGAAAGAATAAAAAAGGTCTTAGGGACAGCCATACCTGTTTAGTTAGGTACAGATGTGGTTCTACTCGTTGGAAAGTGAATTTAGTAATGATACGGAAGTGATTCTGTAGATTGTACAGTCCTTCTGAGTTAGTGCTGACTTGATACTGGCGTCTCAAGTGACAGAGCAGTAGGTTCTTGCTACTGATGATTTCTAGGGCAGAAAATGTCAACTCAAAATTCTTAACTGTTAAAGAGATCTGGGGCTTTTTTGGTTTGGTTGGTTTGTTGCTTGTTTTGTTTCTGAATTAGAAGAATTCTGTTAGTTTGGTAGGAATTTTCCCAGGGCAGTTTTTCTCTGGCAGATTCATTTGTTTCTTGGTTCCTGAGTATGGAAGATAGGATAGGGTTGTGGTCTACGTGAAAGAAATGTTGAAAGACTAGTGTTTATAATGCTTTTTTTTCTAGAGAGGCTATACAGTAATTGGTTTCTGTTTAATTTCTGATGTCTATTTCTGTTCTCTCAAGATGAGTTACTGACCAGTTATGTCTCAAGATTTACAACTGAAATAGGGACTTTCATAGAATCATTGCATTGCTACAAAAGACTTTATTTTTAAATTATTTTATTTCCTTTAAAACTAAATAGCTTTATTACTACAAAAATAATATATTCAGCTGGGCACGGTGGCTTATGCCTGTAATCCCAGCAATTTGGGAGGCCCAGGCGGGCAGATCACTGGAGGGCAGGAGTTCGAGACCAGCCTGGCTAGTATGGTGAAATCCCTACTAAAAATACTAAAATCTCTACTAAAAATACAAAAATTAGGTGGGTGTGATGGTAGATGACTGTAATCCCATCTACCTGGGAGGCTGAAGCAGGAGAATTCCTTGAACCTGGGAGGCAGAGGCGGAGGTTGCAGTGAAGTGAGCTGAGATCATGCCACTGCACTCTAGCCTGGGCAACAAGAGCAAAACTCCATCACACACACACACACACACACACACGCGCACACACACACTGTATGTATATGTGTGTGTGTGTGTGTGTGTATGCATTGTAGAAAAACTATTAAAAAAATCAAAAAGAAGAAAAAACATTTTTTCACCATGATCCCACCACCTGGAGATAACTGATTGTTACTTTTATTCTGTATGTATATTTATTTTTATATATCTCTATGTTATATGTAGTGATTTTCCTTTTACCAAAAAAGATTATACAGATGGTACATTACTCTTTGCCCACTTTTTCCCCTTAATAGTGAATATCTTATTTTAATAGTCATCTATAACATTTTTGATGACTATGTTTTCCATTATTTGATTAACTTATTAACAGTAGGTTGTAAGAGGTACACTGCTATTTTAAAAAGCTTCAGTGAACATTTCTATCTCCATCTTTTCTCATATCATTAACTAGTTCTGCGGATATATTTCTAAAAGTGAAATTGTTGGCTCAGAGTTCATCACAGTTTATAAGAATTGGGATCAGTATTGTTCCTGGATTGGCCATCTGATAGTGTTATATCAGTTTATATTTCTGTTAGAAAAGTGTATGATTTTTAATTTGGGATGTATCCATTTATGTATGCATTCCCCTATTCTTGGACGTTTATCAGGGTCCCATCTTTTGTGATTACAAACTATACTGTGGTGAACATTCTCAGGCATGTGTCTTTGCCCACTGTGAAAGCGTATCTTCAGTATAAAGTCTTAGAGGTGAGATTTGCTGGCTCAAGTGTTTATAATTAAATAGATGTTGTCAAGTTGTCCTAATAGGTTGCTCTACATAGGTGTCCACCAGTAGCTCTTTTTCCATTTTGTTATCAACTTTAGATATTATCAGACTTTTAAAACTTTATAATTTCCAAAGATTTTCAGTATTTGGGTACTCAAAATATTATCAGGTTATGAGAAATCTCTTGACTTCCAAACAGTTTATAAATAGGGACCCTTGTATATATAAAGATGGGGAACCATTTATGTAGAGAATTCTCTTATTTTACAGATGTGGAAACTGAGGCCTGGAGAGTCTAAATAATTTGCTTTAGTTATAAATAATAATTTAATAGTTGCTAAGTGACTAAACTGGATTTGAATTCTCTGGACTTAAAAGCTTTCGGGATTTCCACTGCATTATATTGCTTTTCTGTGTGTGTGTGTGTGTGTGTGTATGTGCGCCTGCACGTGCGCGCTTTTTTTTTTAAAATTAAGCCAGTCAAATTTAGCAGTAGGGGGTTGTATACCAACTTCTGGTGACACTAATGTTTATAAGTTCTGATAAACCACTACCATTGAACTAGTCCGGTGTGTCTCTTAAACTGTTAAAATCCTGTTAGCAACCAGCGTACCTAACCTTTTCTTTGATCCCAGGGTTCCAAGGCCCACTCTGAGATGGCTATGCAACTGTTTTTTTTCCTGAGACAGGATCTCGCTTTGTCACCCAGGTTGGAGTACAGTGGCGTGAACACAGCTCACTGCAGCCTCAACCTCCCTAGCTCAGCAGTCCTCCCACCTCAGCCCTCCAAGTAGCGAGTACAGGCACATGCCACCGTGCGGGGTAATTTTTGTAATTTTTATGGAGACAGGGTTTTACCATGTTACCCAGGCTGGTCTCAGGCTCCTGAGCTCAAGTGATCCTCCTCAGCTTCCCAAAGTGAACATTCTATCACCACGCCTGGCCATAGGGATATGGCTTCAGAATGAAGTGAGTAAGAAATATTGCTTCTTACAATCCAGTTTCCCTTTAAGCTTTCAGTTTATTGGTATTGGTATATTATCCACTTACTACATTAGTAACATAGCAAATGAGAAGAACTTTTTTTTTTTTTGAGACAGAGTCTCAGTCCATCACCTAGGCTGGAGTGCAGTGGCACAGTCTCATTTTAGTAGAGGCAGGGTTTCACCATGTTGTCCAGGCTGGTCTCAATTTCCTGACCTCAAGTGATCCATCCGCCTTGGCTTCCCAAAGTACTGAGATTACAGATGTGGGCCTCTGTTCCCAGCCAGCAAATGAGAATAACTTTTTAACAGTTTGGTATTGTTTCATTTAGTGTACTCGATTTTTTAGAAGGTTTAGAAATTTAGGCCAGGCGCAGTGGCTCTTGCCTGTAATCCCAGCACTTTGGGAGGCCAAGGTGGGAGGATCACTTGAGGTTAGGAGTTCAAGACCAGCTTGGCCAACGTGGTGAAACCCCATCTCTGCTAAAATACAAAAATTAGCCAGGTGTGGTGGTGCCTGCCTGTAATCCCAACTACTTGCAGGACTGAGGCAGGAGAATCGCTTGAACCCGGGAGGTGGAGGTTACATTGAGCCGAGACCATGCCATTGCACTCCAGCCTGGGTGAATTAAAAAGAAAAAAAAAATCAGAAAGTTTAGAAATTTAAGTTTAAAAAAAATTTGTGGTCTCAGAGGAGGGAAAGATTTCTTAAACCAAATTTTTAAAAGCTAACTATAAAGGGTAAACTGATAAATAGAACCACACTAAAGATGTGATTTAAAAATAAAACCCGAGAAAAAAGTATCCAGAGCCGCTGAGTAGCGGCCGAGTTCTGGGTTGTTCTGCAACTTGCCCAGATCGGAACCTTCTCGCCCTCTTTGCGGAGAATCGAGACCATGATGTGGAACAGTGGATTCGAAAGCTTTGGCAGCTCCAGCTACGGGGGAGCTGGCGGCTACACGCAGTCCCCGGGGGGCTTTGGATCGCCCGGACCTTCTCAGGCCGAAAAGAAATCAAGAGCCCGAGCCCAGCACATTGTGCCCTGCACTATATCTCAGCTGCTTTCTGCCACTTTGGTTGATGAAGTGTTCAGAATTGGGAATGTTGAGATTTCACAGGTCACTATTGTGGGGATCATCAGACATACAGAGAAGGCCCCAACCAACATAGTTTACAAAATAGATGACATGACAGCTCCACCCATGGATGTTCGCCAGTGGGTTGACACAGATGACGCCAGCAGTGAAAACACTGTGGTTCCTCCAGAAACATATTGGAAAGTGGCAGGCCACCTGAGATCTTTTCAGAACAAAAAGAGCCTGGTAGCCTTTAAGATCATGCCCCTGGAGGATATGAATGAGTTCACTGCACATATTCTAGAAGTGATTAATGCACACATGATATTAAGCAAAGCCAGTGGTCAGCCCTCAGCAGGGAAAGCACCCATCAGCAATCCAGGAATGAGTGAAGCAGGGAACTTTGGTGGGAATAGCTTTATGCCAGCAAATGGCCTCACTGTGGCCCAAAATCAGGTGCTGAATTTGATTAAGGCTTGTCCAAGACCTGAAGGGTTGAACTTTCAAGAGCTCAGGAACCAGCTGAAACACATGTCTGTACCCTCAATCAAGCAAGCTGTGGATTTTCTGAGCAATGAGGGGCACATCTATTCTACTGTGGATGATGATCATTTTAAATCCACAGATGCAGAATAACTGGATCTAATTGGGTACCTGAGATATTTTACAACTGGACCTAGTTTCACAGTCTCTTGTCTCCAGCTCTGCATACGTTTGGCCAGATGGCTTCTAGGAAGTAGGTTTCACGTCTAAAAGGTCTCTACTGACATCCTTTTGAAACATACTGCTCTTCTGTTTTATTTTGTTTTGTTTGAAGCTGAAAGGGAGATGGACAATTGACAGGGATGCAATCCAGGGTGGCATTTCTTGAGGAAGTTACAAATAAGCTTGTTACAACATCAAGATAGGTGGAATTGGAAGGACGCTACCAGGAGAGTACTTACATAGTGCTTGGGAGTTTCTCTTTTTAAAATTTTTCCTGCTGAAAGAAGATAAGCAGGACCAGGGCCTTGTAGGCAGAGCCCTAACCGAGTAACCTGCTGGCCTCTGCCTGTTTCTGTCCCATTTGGTTGTGTGGCATTACTTTCAGAATTGCACTTTCCTGCTTGTCGTGACTGCTGCTTGTCATGACGGTATATTTCTGTGAACATGAAGTTCTGTGGTGGTGCCTCCAGGGGCAGAGGAAAGGAAGTGTTATTGCGTTTTGTACAAAGTAAGTACATTCATGTGTTTAATAAAACAGTTCGATTGTAGTAACTTGTAAAAAAAATAAATAAATAAAATAAATAAATAAAACCCACTGAGAAGAGAAACCACAAACTGGAAGGTGTTTGCAGCATCTGTTACTCTTTTTTTTTTTTTTTTTTTTTTTTTTTTGAGACAGTCTCATTTTGTTGTCCATCCAGGCTGGAGTGCAGTGGTGCAATCTTGGCTCACTGCATTGTCCAGCTCCCAAGTCCAAGTTCAAACAATTCTTGTGCCTCAGTCTTCCAAGTAGCTGTAACTACAGGCGCCGTCCACTGTGCCCAGCTAACTTTCGTATTTTTAGTAAAGGCAGTGTTTCACCATGTTGGCCAGGCTGGTCTTGAACCCCTGACCTCAAGTAATCTGCCTACCTTGGCCTCCCAAAGTACTGTGATTACAGACGTGAGCCACACCTGGCCCTCAAAAGGTTAAACATAGAATTACCATATGACCCAGCAGTTGTACTCCTAGCTGTATACTCAAGAGAATGGAAAACATATGTTCACATATAAAAACTTGTGCACAAATGTTCATAGCAGTATTGTTTGTTACAGCCAAAAGTAAAAACAACCTGTGTCCATCAATTAATGGATAAACAAAATGTATTATGTGTATACAATGGAATATTATTAGCCCATAAAAAGGAATGAAATACTGATCCATTCTGTGACATAGATGAACCTTGAAAACATAATGCTGAGGAGCAGACATACAAAATGAGCTGGGCGTGATGACACATGCCTCCAATCCCACCTACTAGGGAAGCTGAGGCAGGAGACTTGCTTGAACCGAGGAGGAGGAGGTTACAGTGAGTCAAGATCCTGTCCCTGCACTCCAGTCTGGGCAACAAGAGTGAAACTCTGTCTCAAAAAAAAAAGAAAAGCTAAACACAAAAGGTCACATATTATATGATTCCATCTATATGAAATGTCTTGAATAGGCAAGTCCAGAGAGACAGAAATTAGATTCTTGGTTGCCAGGTGCTGGGAGGAGAAAAGAATGGGGAATAACTCCTAGGGGAAATGAGGTTTCTGTTGAGGGTGATGAAAATATACTGGAACTAGGCTGGGCACAGTGGCTCGCGCTTGTAATCCCAGCTCTTCGGGAGGCCAAGACAGAGTCTTGCTCTGTCACCCAGGCTGGAATGCAGTGGATCACCAGAGGTCAGGTGTTGTAGACTCCTGAGGTTTAACATGGTGAAACCTCATTTCTACTAAAAATACAATTAGCTGGGCATGGTGGTGAGTGCCTGTGATCCCAGCACCTCCGGAGGCTGAGGGGAGAATTGCTTGAACCTGGGAGTGAACAAGGTTGCAGTGAGCCGAGATTGCACCATTGCACTCCAGCTTTGGCAACAAGAATGAAACTTTGTCTCAAAAAAAAAATGTTTTGGAAATGATGATGGTTGCACAACCTTGTGAATATACTAAAAATCACTCAATTGTTTACTTTAAATGGGTAATATGTAGATTATACTCAAAGCTGGGTTTGGTTTGTGTGTGTGTGTTTTGTTTTTAAGAAAATATTAGGTCCAGATGCGGTGGCTCATACCTTTAATCCTAGCACTTTGGAAGTCTGAGGTGGGCAGATCATTTGAGGTCAGGAGTTCAAGACCAGCCTGATCAACATGGTGAAACCTTGTCTCTACTAAAAATACAAAAAACTTAGCCCGGCATGGTGGCACTTGCCTGTTGTCCTAGCTACTTGGGAGGCTGAGGCAGGAGAATCGCTTGACCCTGGGAGGTGGAGGTTGCAGTGAGCTGAGATCATACCACTGCACTCCAGCCTGGGTGACAGAGCAAGACTCTGTCTCAAAAGAAGGAAAGTATCAGGAATAAAATTTTGGAATTTTTTTTTTTTTTTGACAGAGTCTCAACTCTGTTGCCTGGGTTGGAGGGCAGTGGCATGCTCAGCTCACTGCATGGTGGAATATTTTTACTATTCTCTTTCCTGTTCTTTAGAATTAATTACTCAGTATCTCATTTCATGTTTCTTTCCTGTGCAAACATAAATTCTGACTGATCTTATGTTTGCACAGGAAGAAAACATTATGAAATGAAATAAACTATTGCTTAATTCTTTAGAGTTCTGAAGGATATGAATTTAATGTTACACATTTCTTGCAATGTAACTGATTACGGTTTTCAATTCCTATTTTATTTAGCCCTCTATTTCTGGGCTTTAAGGGTGTGTAAGTAAACATAAAGAACGAAGGAAGGTCGGGCTTAGTGGCTCCTGCCTAAAATCCCAGCACTTCGGGAAGCCGAAGTAGGTGGATCACCTGAAGTGAGAAGTTCGAGACCAGCCTGGCCAAATAGTGAAACCCCGTCTCTACTAAAAAAATTAGCCAGGCATGGTGGCAAGGTGCCTGTAATCCCAGCTACTTGGGAGGCTGAGGTAGGAGAATCACTTGAATCTGGGAGGTGGAGGTTGCAGTGGACCGAGATCATGCCATCGCACTCCAGCTTGGGTGACAGCGCAGAACTCCATCTGGAAATAAAAAAAAGAAGGAAAAAAAAATCAATCAAAATAACTTAGAGGGAGAAACTTAGTTGCATACTTCCTTGATTTGTTGTTCTTAAATTCATAATGTGCTCGGTGCTATATGATGTCTGAAGAGCAGAAGAAAACTCATGGAATTCATTTTCAATGAGGTGGGTTGTTTTGTTTCATTTGTTTGTTTGTTTGTTTGTTGGGTTTGCTTTGCTTTGTTTGAGATAGGGTCTCACTCTCTTACCCAGGCAGGAGTGTAGTAGTGGCACGAACATGGCTGGCTCACTGTATCCTCCACCTCCCAAGCTCAAACGATCCTCCCGCCTCAGGCCCCCAAGTAGCTGGAACTACAGGCACACATCACCACACCTGGCTGTTTTTTGTTTTTTATTTTGAGTCTTTCTCACACTGCTGCCCAGGCTGGAGTGCAGTAGCAGGATCTTGGCTCACTGCAGCCTCCGCTGCCTGGATTTGAATGATTGTTGTGCCTCAGTCACCCAAATAGCTGGGGTTACAGGCATGTGCCACCATGCCCAGCTAACTTTTGTATTTTTAGTGGAGGTGAGCTTTCACCATGTTGGCCAGGCTGGTTTCAACCTCAAGTGATCCGCCTGCCTCAGCCTCCCAAAGTGCTGATATTATAGACGTGAGCCTTGTTTTGTTTTTGTGTTGGGGTCTCACTGTGTTGCCCAGGTTGGACTCAAACTCCTGGGCCCAAGTGATCCTCCTGCTTCAGCCTCTTGAATAGCTGGGACTACTGGTGCCTACCACTGCTCCAGGCTGGATAATCCTTTTAAAGGCTTTTTTTTAAAGTACCAGAATTCTAATTGCCTTTTCATCCTCTGGAAAGAGAACCTTGTAAGACACTTGAATTGTCAGAATTCCTTTGAGCTAAGGTTTAAAAGATTGCAGAAATTATTTAAAATGCTTCTAAATAAGCAGGTATAATTTACCCAGTGTGACTTTCCATAGTCTGGCTTTTGCTTTCCATTGAATCGTGAATCTAATCTGGTCTTTGAAAACCACTATTTTCTTTGTCCCATATTTTTGGAAAAATTCTAACATTCCACCAGAATTTAGACTTGACCCTGATATAAGGGAAAATATTTGGAGAAAATGCTGTTAACATTTTTTATAATGGTATTTATGGGTTTCATGGAAACCTGGTCTGTCTGTAAGAGACTTGGGAATGCTGATTGATTTCACATAAATGCAAAAAACCTCCATCTTTCCCTTCTTGTATTTAATTGGGATGTTGAGCCAGGAATTATCTTTTTTTTTTTTATCTTCCCAAACTGGATATGATAGCCGGGAATTATCTAAATGTTTTTTAGGATTAGGATAAACGAGATAATTTATTTTCTTTTGTCCTAGCAGTTAAAACAATGACTAGAAAATCCAGACTTCTGCTTAGTCAATGTTTTTCAACTATAAATTTCAAAAGGATAGAAAGAGATGGTTGGGGAACCTGTGGATTAAAAGACTTGAGTGTTGTTCATCCATTGCACTTTGCCAACATTTTGTAACTGGATTCAGACAAACGCTTTAAAAAATGCAAATAAGTAAATTTGAATTTTGACTGGGTATTTGATATTAAATGTTCGGGAGTTATGTTGGTATGATTCTTTATCTTTTTTTGAAATCCTTATGTAGGAGGTACATTTTGAAATATTTGTAGATGATATGATCTAGAACTCGTTTTAAAGTAATATGGGAACTAGTACATGTATAGGAGGTATAGATGAACTAAGACTTGCCGTGCGTTAATAATTAACGAAGCAGGGTGGTGTATAGGGAGGGGTTCACCGTAGTGTTCTGTTTCTTTGTATGTTTTAACTTCTCCATAATAAAGCATTTAAAAGATTTTAAAAACCCACCATCAATACATTGCCAGTATAATTTAACATGGATAGAACTTGCTGGAATTCTCTGTTTTATTTGTCTAGCTGCCTCTACAATCACTAGTCTTCTGGCTCAGTAACTGAGGGTCTAGTCTACTGATGAGCTCTCAGTTTCTGAGAGAGTGTGAGATGAGCCACTGCTGGCCCATTAGTAGCCACCTACATACCTATTCCTTTGGTGGTGTAGCTTTGTAGTTAACTGTGGTGATGGACCTGCCAAGTGGAATGTACATTTCAGAGGGGCCTGTCCTATTCTGGTGATTTTGGGTAAAAAGTTGAGACAATATTTTGCTTAACTCTTTGGTTTTTTGTTTTTTGAGACAGAGTCTTGCTCTGTTTCCCGGGCTGGAGTGCAGTGGCACAATCTTGGCTCACTGCAACCTCCACCTCCCTGGTTCAAGCAATTCTGCCTCAACTTCCCAAGTAGCTGGAATTACAGGTATGCACCATCATGCTCAGCTAATTTTTGTATTTTTAGCAGAGACGGGGTTTTGTCATGTTGGCCAGGCTGGTCTTGAACTCCTGGCCCCAAGTGATTCACCTGCCTCACTCTCCCAAATGCTGGGATTACAGGTGTGAGCCACTGTGCCTAGCCTGCTTGACTCTTTCGCCTAGGTATATTGGCTCTCTGAAATTCTCTATCTGGTTTTGAGTATTCTTTGTATATCAGGAAACTTAGTGTTGATTTTTGTTTTCACCAAATGTCATGAAATAGGGGACTTAAAAATATTTATGAAATTATTTTCTCACAAATGAAGAGTTGAAGATATTTCAGTAATAGCCCTGTTTATTCATATTTTTATTCATGAATGAATGATTATCTTCTGAAATCATGTCATTTTTACTTGGTGTGGGTTAGTTTTTGTCTGGGTCTTCTGTTTATCAGCCCTGATGACATGCAGAGAAAGGTGGTAGGTAGCCTGTCAGTCTCTGGGTCCCCTTCTAAAAGACAGTGGTTGCTTAAAGAATCTTGCATTTCTCAGATTTAACTTACTAGGAAGAGAAACCATTCTTCAGATTCTGTGTACTTGCTGAATTAATGTTTGTTGATGAATATTGTTTTTAAAGAATTAAGGGGGATTAGCTAACAAATTATATTCTAATAAAATAGGTTTTACCTAGTTAAAATATGGAAAAAGACTTAACATATTTTGTTCTGTGCTGATTTGGTGGGGGAGATTATGTGTGGTCACCTTAAATCATGAGAGTCAAGGTGATAGTCACATAGAATTCTAATGTGTCTTTCATCCCCAGTTAAGACATATGGGTGAAATGTTAGTGAACCTCCCCTACCCATCTGTTTTTCTGTTAGTTGTAGATTTGGGTGAAGCTTAAATTTTTGGCGAGTTTGGTCACATTAAACATGGTGAGTGTCAGTCTTGGATATTTTGGCGTCTGGGACATCATTTCTGTTTCTTACAAAATGTGGATTTGTACTTGGGAGGCTGAGGTGGAAATATGGCTCAAGCCCAGGAAGTTGAGGCTGCAGGGACCCATGACTGTGCCACTGCACTCCAGCCTGGGTGACAGAGCGATATCCTGTCTCAAATAAATAAAATAAAATGTAGGTTTAACATTCATTGTTTTTAACGTTCCTTTTTTTTCCCCCCGCTTAACCTTTTAGCTGGCAACCCTCTGGTCCAGCAAGGTGGACAGCCGCTCATCCTGACCCAGAATCCAGCCCCAGGTCTGGGCACAATGGTTACTCAACCAGTATTGAGACCTGTTCAGGTCATGCAGAATGCCAATCATGTGACTAGTTCCCCTGTGGCTTCACAACCAATATTTATCACTACGCAGGTGAGTAGGACTCTGAATTTCAAGGTTTCTAGAGGAGAGAAAGAATATGAACCTCTGAAAGCTCTGACTTAGGGTCTTTAGCACCATTAGTAGTAGTTCTAAGTCTTGTCTTTTGACCTTACTTTCTCATTTACCGTTCTGTAATTTGATGCTGACTGTGGAATGCCTGGTATAGCATGGTTGGGTAATATCCTCTTTAAACCCCTTAGAAGTTTATTAAGAAATTTGATTAAAGTCTAGGCAGAAATTAGTGGGAAAGCTTGGATTAGGAAGCCTTAACCCTTGGCTCTCGAGACTTTTCACCCTTTGCATGGACTGCTCCACTTCACATGGGATGAATTAGTTAACTTTTGGAGATGTATATATGTCATTGGTGGAGTTCATGGAGACCTTTGGAAGACAGGGAAGATGACTTATTTGATATATAATGTATCGAATTGAAGTTCAAAGTCTAATTTTGAATATGGATTCTAAAGGCAAATGCATTTCTTTGCCTGTGTCTTCCTGAGTTATAAATGCTTTTGAATTTGCCAAAGGTTTATGGTCTTCGAAGCAGACTTTGGGAACAATATCTTAGGATTGTTTGTATGTTGACTCACTCCAGTGAACACTGTTCTTCTCCCCCCAACACCCCGCACCCCACCCTCCCCCTTGTATTCATTTAGCACTTTAGGGAGCCAGTCTGTTGATGAGGTTTTTTTTAAACCTGATGCTCTCTTAAGTCAGGAAATAGGTTTTCATTTTTGCTCATGTGTACCAAAGCTTGTTCTCTAGTTTTGATACTTTGTCACTCAAAAGTTTGCCAAAATTTCCTAAATTTTTTCATCTCAGTCATTTGAAAACTCTAATTCTAGAGAGAACCATTAAGAGTATGGGCATTTTTTTGGATGTAGGTCATACTGCAATCTGTTAGTGTTAGTTGGTCTCCATGTTAAAGATCATTTTGCTTTTTAATACAGGGATTTCCTGTAAGGAATGTCCGGCCTGTACAAAATGCAATGAATCAGGTTGGGATTGTGCTGAACGTACAGCAAGGCCAAACAGTTAGACCAATTACACTAGTCCCAGGTAAGGAAAAATGTCTATCCATTGGAATAAACCGGCATCCAGAAGATTTGTTTTTATTGTTCTAAGTACCCTAAGTCATTTTATAAGTATGTTTAAAGAAAATCTAAAAATATAAAAATCTTAATGAATTAAGCCCAATTTAAAAAAATCTATTTCTAACCTTTGGCCAGGGTGGTGGTTTTATTTATTTCTGTTTAGCTTTTCACCACCCTTCATGAGGTAGTAAAACGGCTTATAGTCATTTTTCTGTGACTGGTATTTAGTCAGCTATTAAGTTTGTTATCCTGGAGGAATGTTATTAATGCAGACTCCCAAATTCTATACTCCTTATACATCTACTCATTTGCACAGTGGGATTATAAACTTTGTTGTAATTTTATAGCATCGATTTTAGATATAACCAAATGACATTCCCTTTATGGATAAATACTAGATGGGGTTTTTTTCTAATGATTCTGAGAAGGATAATTTTTTAAACCTTAGAAATTTTCATTTTCATTTTTCATTTCTTGATTTAGTATGTATAAGTTTACTATAGTTCAGACCAAAAAAAAAATCTTAATTTAGCTATTTGTAAGGTTACCTCTGTAGCTTGTCTTCCTAAGGTTTTCTTTTTTGTTCTCATAGCCCACAGGAGTTTTTGGCCCTCAGTCTGATCAGCTTGCCCTGATATTTCTTTATTTTTCTCAGTTAATTTTCTACATTTGAGCCAGGAGACATTCTCCTTTGGGACATCCTAGTAGAATGGTGTAGTCTGTCTTCTGAGTTTATAGAAGAGAATGGAAGACTCCTTTAGTACTATGAGAAAAACTGATTTCTTTTTTCAGGACCTGGTCTGCCATTTGGCCTGTATACACCTGTATTGCCCCCTACTCTTTTTTTCCAGTACCGAGGTCAAGCTACTGATTATATTCTTAGAATTAAAAAGGCAGTGTGGTAAGGTGTTTTGGGAGGATTTGATGGGAGTCTAATTTAACAGAATGTTTTTAGGCTACCCAGGCTAATTTCTTTTGTCATCGTGGACACCTCCTGTTTTCTTAGTCTTTAGAATCTATACTGCTCTTAGTAACCTCTGATGATCACCCATCAGATTGGGGAAATAATCTTTCCAGTAAAGGCAGGGAGAATGTGTTATAGGTGAGCTCATTGACCAAGATCTGGTACTTTGTCTCTCTTTTAAAGCCCCAGGTACCCAGTTTGTTAAGCCGACAGTTGGAGTTCCACAAGTGTTCTCTCAGATGACCCCTGTGAGGCCAGGCTCCACATTACCTGTGAGGCCCACCACCAACACCTTCACCACCGTCATCCCGGCCACTCTCACCATTCGAAGCACCGTTCCACAGTCCCAGTCCCAGCAGACCAAGTCCACTCCCAGCACTTCCACCACTCCCACTGCCACACAGCCAACCTCACTGGGGCAACTAGCTGTTCAGTCTCCAGGCCAGTCAAACCAGACCACGAATCCCAAGCTAGGTAAGGCTTGGGAAGAGGAGATGGCAGAGCTAGGATGGGATGGTGGGTGGAGAACAGATGATTTTCACTTGGTCACCATAGCTCCCTCCTTCCCCTCTCCACCTGCAGTGAGCATTGCCAGCTTTGTCACTGTGAAGCGACCTGGTGTTACAGGTGAAAATAGCAATGAAGTGGCCAAATTGGTGAATACCCTTAACACCATCCCTTCCTTGGGCCAGAGTCCTGGGCCAGTGGTGGTATCCAACAACAGCTCTGCTCATGGCTCTCAAAGAACCAGCGGACCTGAATCTTCAATGAAAGGTACAGTAACCTGAAAGACCCTGAGCAGCCAGTCATTGAAAAACATTAATAAAGTGTTATATCAGAGCTCTATACTCAGAAATAGAGAAATAAAATAGAATATAGCTGCTGTAGTTTGTTCTTACAGAAACTTTAGTAAGGGGTAAGCCACTTGTAAAAAGTGTAACTGAATCAGCTCCAAGAAATTCTGTGTGTAATTGTGCTTTGGGGATTAGTGAAATTGATTGATCAGAGATGTATGAGATAATAAAAGAGAACTTAATGGAAGAGATGGATTTCTGAACAAGGTTTTAAAGCTGGGATTTGGTAGAGAGATCTTCAGGTTGAGAATGATACAAGCATGAGGGTTTTCAGGGGTCTAGAGCAGGGGTCGGCAAATGTTTTCCATAAAGGGCCCAGTAGTAAATTTGCAGGCTTTCTGCATAGTATAGCCTCTGTTGCAGCTATTCAGCTGTGCTGTTGTGGTGTGGAAGCAGCCACAGATACATAAATGAATGAGCGTGGCTGTGTTCCACTAAAAACATTTATGGACCCTGAAATTTAAGTTTCATAAAATTTTCAGGTATCAGGAAATATCATTCTTTTAATTTTAAACACTTAAAAATAAAAACTGCAAGATGCGGTGACTCACACCTATAATCCTAGCATTATGGGAGGCCAAGTTGGGAGGGTCACTTGAGCCTAGGAGTTTGAGACCAGCCTGGGCAACATGGTGAGATCTTGTCTCTACAAAAAAAAAAAAAAATTAGAGCAGGTATGATGCTGCATGTCTGCAGTCCTTAGCTACTCAGGAATCTGAAGTGAGAGGATGGCTTGAACCCTGAAGGTTGAGCCTGCAATGAGCCATGATCATGTCACTGCAACAGAAAGAGACCCTATCTCAAAAAAAAAAAAATAGAAACTTTTAAAAAATGGTATTGGGAAAACTAGATATCCATGTTCAAAAAAAATGAAGTTGGAGCTCACCTGACCTGCAACAGAAAGAGACCCTGTCTCAAAAAAAGTAGAAACCTTTAAAAAATAGTATTGGGAAAACTAGATATCCATGTCCAAAAAAATGAAGTTAGAACTCACCTTATACTAAATACAAAAATTTACTCAAAATGGATCAAAGACCTAAATGAACTAAAACTATAAGACTCTTGGAAAAATTGTAGGACAGAAAACTTCATGATACTGGATTTGACAATGATTATTATTTCTTTTATATGACACCAAAAGCATGGGCAAGAGGAGGAAAAAAGTGGGTGAATTGAATTACATCAAAATTTAAAACTTTTACGCATCAAAGGACACTATCAACATAGTGAAAAGGGAAGCCACAGAACAGGAGAAAATACTTGCAAATTATATCTCTAATAAGGGGTTAAAATCCAGAATATATAAAGAACTCCTACAGTTCAACATCAAAAAAACCCAAACAACCTTTTTTAAAAATAGGCAAAGGATTGGCTGGGCGAGGTGGCTCACGCCTGTAATCCCAGCACTTTGGGAGGCCAAGGCAGGTGGATCACCTGAGGTCAGAAGTTCAAGACCAGCCTGACCAATATGGTAAAACGCCTGTCTCTACTAAAAATACATAAATTAGCCAGGTGCCTGTAGTCTCAGCTACTAGGGAGGCTGAGACAGAATTGCTTGAACCTGGAAGGCACAGGTTGTGGTAAGCCAAGATCGCGCCACTGCATTCCAACCTGGTCAACAGAGTGAGAGACTGTTTAAAAAAAAAAAAAAAAATGTAGGCAAAGGACTAAATAGATGTTTCTCCAAATAAAATTCTAAAATAGCCAATAAGCTCACGAAAAGATGCTCAGTGTTATTAATCATTATGGAAATGCACATCAAAACCACAATGAGGTACCGTCTCACACCCATTAGGACGGCCACTATGAAAGAACCAGAAAATAACAAATATTGCTGAGGATGTGGAGAAAGCAGAACCCTTACGCACTGTTGGTGGAAATGTAAAATGATGCAGCCGCTTTGGAAAACAGTATGGTAGTTCCTCAAAAAATTAGAAGTGATAGAATTACTGCTCCAGCAAGTCCACTTTTGGGGCTATACCCAAAAGAATTGAAAGCAGGGGGCAGGGCACGGTGGCTTATGCCTATAATCCCAGTACTTTGGGAGGCGGAGGTGGGTGGATCACCTGAGGTCGGGAGTTCAAGACCAGCCTGACCAACATGGAGAAACCCCTTTTCTACTCAAAACACAAAGTTAGCTGGGTGTGGTGGCAGGCACCTGTAATCCCAGCTACTTGGGAGGCTGAGGCAGGAGAATTGCTTGAATCCACGAGGTGGAGGTTGTGGTTGCAGTGAGCCGAGATTTCGCCATTGTACTCCAGCCTGGGCAACAAGAGTGAAACTCTGTCTCAAAAAAAAAAAAAGAAGAAGAAAACAGGGACTAGAACAAGTATTTGTATACCAATATTCATTGCAACATTATTCACAATAGTTCTGAAAGGTGAAAGGAACACAGAGGTCCATCAACGGATAAAGGGATAAATAAAACATATTTACATGCAAATGGTATATTATTCAGGCTTAAGGAAGGAAATTCTGCTACAACATGGTTTAACCTTGAAGACATTATGGTAAAGTGAAATAGGCTAGTCACAAAAGGACAAGTACTATGCGTTTCCACTTACTTGAAGTACCTAGAGTAGTCAAATTCATAGAGACAGAAAGTTGGATGGTGGTTGCCAAGGGCAGAGGCAAGGGTAAAATGGAGAGGAGTTTTTTATTGGATATAGTTTCCATTCTCCAAGACTAAAAAAAAACAAAAGCCTTACGTGACCAAAAAACTCACGTAAAAATGATTTTTAGCTTATGGGCCAAACAAACTGGCAGCTGGGCTGGATTTGATCTGTGAGCTGTGGTTTGCTGACCCCTGGCCTAGAGTTAGAACAGTAAAAGGATGTGCCTCAAACATAGTGTTCTTGAGCCCAGGGAGGTCAAGGCTGCAGTGAGCTGTGGTCGTGCCACTGCACTCCAGCCTGGGCAACAGACTGAGATACCCTCTCTCAAAAAAAAAAAAGAAAAAACCATAGTGATCTCATGCTTGCTTACCCTTTTATATACTTCTCAGGGAGTATTTGACCTTTTCCCAGAAGGTTAGTAATCTTTTTCCAGTGTCATTGTATTAATCTTATCAATTCTTCTCACTTCTTTCAGTGACCTCTTCCATACCAGTATTTGACCTCCAGGATGGTGGACGGAAAATATGTCCACGATGTAATGCTCAATTTCGTGTTACTGAAGCTTTGAGAGGTCACATGTGTGTAAGTGATATCACCTGTGATCCAGCTTAAGTGGCTTCTGCCATTTACCTTCATTAATATTGGAAGCTTGTGAAGCAGGGGCTCTAAAATGACTGAAGCTTTTTAAAGGATTACTGTTTCTCTTGGTCTGTTTTTTTTTAGAAGAGCTATGTACTTTGGAATGAGATGGGATACATTTAAAGACCCTCAGATAGATCAGAACATACGTGATCTTACTTTCTTAGCATGGTAGATTTTGAAATCACATGGGAAAACAGGTTTATAGATAATAAGAACTCAGATCTTGTTGGCCTCAGTTTGTTTTCTGTTAATTGTGTCATTGGATGAATTGGGAGCTCTTATTTTCTTTTTTTTAGCATTTTCGTGTTTTGGTATTCATCCAGATATAAAAGTTGGCACTTCTTTTTGCCAGGGAGCTCAGAGCCAAATTATACTAATGATTAAGGGACCTCAGACAGGCAGGAGGGAGAAGTACAGAGTATGGTGCTTGGGTGGCTATGGCTATACTCTAGAAAAAGAGTGACACTTGGAAACACTGTGGAAAACTGAAGGGTGAAAGCTGAGTAAGAACGCCTAAAACCAAACCGTTAACAAGGAATGGCAGGCCACGTGCAGTGGCTCACGCCTGTAATTCCAGCACTTTGGGAGGCCAAGGTGGGTGGATCACTAGGCCATGAGATCGAGACCATCCTGGCTAACACAGTGAAACCCTGTCTCCATAAAAAATAAACAAACAAGGAATGCTAGTGAAGTTAAGGAGGTAGCACATTCTAGCCCCCAGGATAACCAGAATGATCAGATGTCTTTCTTTATAGTACTGTTGCCCAGAAATGGTTGAATACCAGAAGAAAGGAAAGTCCCTGGATTCAGAACCCAGTGTCCCATCAGCAGCAAAGCCCCCATCCCCTGAGAAAACAGCTCCTGTTGCTTCCACACCCTCTTCTACACCTATTCCTGCTCTGTCACCACCTACCAAAGTACCAGAGCCAAATGAGAACGTGGGTGATGCCGTCCAGACCAAACTCATTATGCTTGTAGATGACTTCTACTATGGACGGGATGGTGGCAAAGTAGCCCAGCTCACAAATTTCCCTAAGGTCGCCACATCTTTCCGATGCCCACATTGTACCAAAAGACTAAAAAACAATATTCGGTAAGTGTTGAAGAGCCTTGGAGGTTACCTTGGACAAGAGAAGACTTACATTTTCTTATATATTTTAAGTCTTTCTCTTTGGAGAATGGACCTAACTACTATGCAGTCTTGCTGGGGTTATCATTAAATCTGTAACTAGGACTATAGCAGGAGATACTGTGGTAATAATCAAAAGGTGACTGGGTTAAGTAAGGGAAACCAGTACATCTCCTTTCACAGAATTCCCTTAGTTTTGAGAACTCAGCTGTCTGGGCTCAGAAAAGGATATCCCAAACAGGAAGTTTGGGGAATGGAGGGGAGCAGATAGTGTTGTTCTGTGATTTTACCTTTACATTTCTAAAAAGCTACTGATTTTTTATGTTTTCTGTACTTTCTCTTTGTGCTTTATTATAGATTCATGAACCATATGAAACACCACGTAGAACTCGATCAGCAGAACGGCGAGGTAGATGGTCACACTATCTGCCAGCACTGTTACCGCCAGTTTTCCACTCCCTTCCAGCTTCAGTGCCACTTGGAAAATGTTCATAGTCCCTATGAATCTACTAGTAAGTTTGGAAACTCTTAGTCTAGGGGAATACTGTTCACTAATTGAATGGCGCTGGGGGGGAGCCCATTATATTTATTTACATGTGGGTAACAGTGTAGAGGAAGTGCTTTTCATGTTTGTAGCCAGTTCTTTATTTCATTCACCTTGTTTTTTTTACAAGCTGACTTTTATTTTGTTTAAGTATAGACTGAGTTGAGTATTAGATCCTGAATTATTAGGGGCGTTGATTCAGGACCACTATGGAAAAACAAATTTAATGAATTTATTTCCTGGGTCTCTTAATAGAAGGAACACTCATCTGTATTTGCACCTCCTCTTAGTTAATACCCTGATAGGCTTTATGTAGGATAAAAGATAGTATTATGAAGTACTTTATCATTAAGGTACTGCTTTCAATGAAAGATGAGCAGGAGTGTTTTCTACACTGTACATTCTATAGATACAGGCTGAACATAAACTCAAAAGAAATTAAATAGGATAAAATATAATATGAAGTACTTTATCATTAGGACAGGCCGGGCGCGGTGGCTCACACCTATAATCTCAGCACTTTGGGAGGCCGATGCGGGTGGATCACGAGGTCAAGAGATCGAGACCATCCTGGTCAACAAGGCGAAACCCCGTCTCTACTAAAAATACAAAAATTAGCTGGGCATGGTGGTGCGCGTCTGTAGTCCCAGCTGCTTGGGAGGCTGAAGCAGGAGAATTGCTTGAACCCAGAAGGCGGAGGTTGCAGTGAGCCGAGATAGTGCCATTGCACTCCAGTCTGGGTAACAAGCAAAACTCCATCTCAAAAAAAAAAAAAAGACATTGTTTTCAATGAAATATAAGGTGTGCTGGAGTGTTTTCTATACTGGACATTTTAAGATGTAGGCTGAACAAAAGCTCAAAGAAATTAAGTCATTTGCTTGTAAGTCTATATACCTCTGCTAAGGAGACATAGGATTTAAGCCCAGTATTTAGAATACTTCTGATGTCCTTTACGGGGTTTCCAGTTTTGTTGTAAAGATAAAAATTATGTAAATACAGAAAAATGTGAGAACAAGGTAGTATATTAAACATACCCATTTTAAGATACCAGTGATAGGTGAAATAGTTCAAAGAAGGAAAAAAATCCTTGTGGCTAGGTTTCCAAGAAAGTCATGCTTAAACTTAAGAAAGGTTTCGATGGAGAGTAATAAGAAAAGCTTTCAGGTGATTGAAAACAGCATGATCAAAAGCATAAAAGACATGCATATTATCTGGATGCAGATAATATTTTGATTTAACTGAAAATCCTTAACTAAAAGTGAATTAAACAACAAGGACTGGGTGAAGTGGCTCATGCGTGTAATTCCAGCACTTTTGGAGGTTTAGGTGGGTAGATCAGTTGAGGGCAGGAGTTCAAGACCAGCCTGGCCAACATGGCAAAACCCCATCTCTACTAAAAATACAAAAATTCGCCTGGTGTGGTGGTACACGCCTGTAATCCAAGCTACTCGGGAGGCTGAGGCACAAGAATCATTTGATCCCAGGAGGTGGAGATTGTAGTAAGCTGAGATTGTACCACTGCACTCCAGCCTAGGTGACAGAGCAAGACTCTGTCTCAAAACAAAACAGTAAGAACATCTGTTATATCATTTAATTGAGAGATACAGAAATGGATGCTTCAGCCTAGAACTTGACTGCCTTGCTGTTTTTCAACACTTCTCTTGTCTCTGGCTCATAGCAGGGCGGCTATGTGTCAGGCACTATGTCCAGATAAAAGATTGTCTAGGCAAAGAAGAGACCTTATCTTCCCATCTTTCTTTCCTGAATCTGTGTTCTTATAAGTGAGAATTGCTTTCCTTTTACATCTCTTTGACTGAACATAATTGGGTCATAAGTGTATTACTAAACCATTTATTGGCAATGGAAATGGGATTGACATGAATGGTTTACACTAACACTAGGCAATAGAAATATGCAAGCTTCATGGGTAATTTTAATTTTTTCACTTTAAATACAGTAGTGCTCCCTTATCCTCAGTTTCAGTTAGTCTCAGTCAGTTACAGTCCAAAAATAGGTGAGTGCAGTACAATAACATTATTGAGAGAGATGCCACATTCACATAACTTTTATTACAGTATGTTGTTATAATTGTCCTTTTATATATAATAATTTTTATTGCTGTTAATCTCTTACTTGCCTACTTTATAAATTAAAGTTTATCATAGATATGTATATATAGGGGAAAAACATGGTATGTATAGGGTTCAGTGCCATCTGAGGTTTCATATATGTATTTGGGGTCTTGGAACATATATTTCTCATTGGCAAAGGAAGTCTACTGTAAAGTTTAAAAAACCAGGCAAAGTTAATTTTAAAGGCATATTTATTTAGTATATTTAAAATAATTTCAACATGAAATCAAAATTTAAAATTGAGATATTTGTCATTCTTTTTCCTCCATTAAAAAACCGATTTTTTGAAATACAAATCTAAATTGGATTTGAGCTTACCACATTTTAAGTGTTCACTAGATAGTGTTGCTGGTGCCACCAGCGTAGACAGTGGAACTTTGGACTAATCATTTGGGAGTGGAATGTGTATTAGAATCAACCAGGCCAAGTGCAGTGGCTCATGCCTGTAATCTCAGCACTTTGAGAGGCCAAGGTAGACAGATTGCTTGAACTTAGGCATTTGAGACCAGCCTGGGCAGCATGGAGAAACCCCGTCTCTACAACCAAAAAAATTAGCTGAGTGTGGTGGCACACACCTATGGTCCTAGCTACTCAGGAGGTAGAGATGGGAGGATTGCTTGAGCCCGGTAGGTCAAGGCTACAGTGAGCCATGATCAAACCACTGCACTCCAGCTTGAGTGACAGAGTGAGACTGTGTCTCAAAAAAGAAAGAAAAAGAATCAGTGGTGACTGCATGTAGTGCTAGGTAGGGTAGCCAGCTTGGTCTAGAATAGAATTCAAGATTCTTCAGTCCGTTATGTGAAGCCAGAGTAACTCATCCATATCTCTCAGTGAAAACACCAGTTTTTTGAGACAACAGGGTTTTTCTCTGCCACCCAAGCTGGAGTGCAGTGGTGCAATCATAGCTCACTGCAGCCTTGACCTCCTGGGCTCCACCAATCCTCCCACCTCAGCCTCCCAAGTGGCTGGGGACTATAGGCATATACCACCATACCAGCTAATTTATTCCTTTTTCAGGGGTATAGAGACAGGGTCTTGCTATGTTGTCCAGGCTGGACACCTAACTCATTTACATGCATAATATGATGGGTAGGTTTTGTGATTCCAAAATTCTACACATAACAAAATTCCACAGAGGGAAGATAAGGTTTTCCTTTTGGAAAAGAAACACGTAATGTGGACCCTCATTGATCTTTTTTTTCTTGGTTTTCCTTTTAATTTTTGAGTCTCTTAATGACAAAATTTTATACTTAACAAAATCACCTTTCCTTAATATATATCAATTTTATTCTTTTTTTTTTTTTGAGACGGAGTTTCGCTCTTGTTACCCAGGCTGGAGTGCAATAATGCGATCTCGGCTCACTCACCGCAACCTCCGCCTCCTGGGTTCAGGCAATTCTCCTGCCTCAGCCTCCCGAGTTTCTGGGATTACAGGCACGCGCCACCATGCCCAGCTAATTTTTTGTATCTTTAGTAGAGACGGGGTTTCACCATGTTGACCAGGATGGTCTCGATGTCTTGACCTCGTGATCCACCCGCCTCGGCCTCCCAAAGTGCTGGGATTACAGGCTTGAGCCACCGCGCCCGGCCACCAGTTTTATTCTTGCATGCTTTTGTAACTTCCTTTTTTGCACCTATGACAGGTTCTGCATGAAAATAGGGTTTTTTTGTTTTGTTTTGTTTTGTTTTTTGAGACAGAGTCTCACTCTGTTAGCCAAGCTGCAGTGTACTGGCACAGTCTTAACTCACTGCAGCCTCCACTTCCTAGGCTAACATGATCCTCCAACTCAGCCTCCTGAATAGCTGGGACTACAGGCATGTGCCACCATGCCCAGCTAATTTTTGGGTTTTTGGGAGGGAGTAGGTGGGAGTTGTAGAGATAGGGTTTTGCCATGCTGCCCAGGCTGGTCTCACATTACTGAGCTCAAGCAATCCACCCACCTCGGCCTCCCAAAGTGCTGGGATTACAGGCATGAGCCACCACACTGAGCCTTTTTTTTTGAGACAGTTGCTCTGTCACTCAGGCTGGAGTGCAGTGTCAAAATCTCAGCTCACTGCTACCTCCACCTCCTGGTTTCAAGCAATTGTTGTGTCTCAGTCTCCTGAGTTTCTGGGATTACAGGTATGTACCACCATTCCCAGTTAAATTTTTTTTTTTAACTTTTAGTAGAGACGGGGTTTCACCATGTTGGCCAGGCTGGTCTCAAACTCCTGGCCTTAAATCACACCTGCTTCGGCCTCTCAAAGTGCTGCGATTTATAGGCATGAGCCAGCATGCCCAGCCGAAAGTAACTTTTTTTTTTTTTTTTGAGTTGGAGTTTCACTCTTTTTGCCCAGGCTGGAGGGCGGTGGTATGATCTCAGCTCACTACAACCTCTGCCTTGCTGTTTCAAGCGATTCTTCTGCCCCAACCTCCTGAGCAGCTGAGATTACAGACACCCACCACCACGCCCTGCTAATTTTTTTGTTTTTTTTGGAAGGAAGGGAGGAAGGCAGGAAGGGAAAGAAGGAAGGAAAGGATGAAGGAAGGAAGGAACGGAGGAAGGGGGGAGGGAGGGAGGGAAGGGAAGGAAAGGGAAGGAAGGAAATCAAGCAGTGAGAGAGACATTGCGGACCTGGATCCTAGAGGTTTACAAGTTGATTTCTCTTTTTTTTTTTTTTTTTTTTTGAGAGAAGAAAAAAAATGAGTAAAGGAGAGGGAGAAAGAGGGAGGGTGAACGGAAATATTGCTTTATTCTGAAAAATAATGGGTATTAATAATGGCCAATCAATGTTTCATTTAAACCTATGAGTAGGTATGATGTGGTATTGACAAGAATGTATACTTTGTGTATTT